TATATGTTAGAGGGGTAATAACAATTTCGAGGAATTAAGAAAGGCCTCATGGAGGTGGTGCTTGAGATAAACTCTAAAGAGAGCTGGCATGTTGGCAAATGTTTAATAACCGGCTCTCTGGAAAAACCAAACCAACCAAACGAAAACAAAAACCTCATGGCACACTTTCAAGTTTAATCTGCATTATTAATATTTTCTCTGTCACTTTTTAAAGTCTAGACAATCAACCAAACAATAAATCCAGCCCTGATCTGTAGTGTTTTCTGATTTCTGGGGAGGAAATGCTCACAGTGAAAATTTAACCATTGACTCTGGAGTAGCACTAAGAGGCAGAGGGGAGGAAAGAGAACATCCAAGGCATGGTGGGGGGATGTAGAATATTGTGTATGGGGAATAACATGTAGGTTAGTTTGGCTAAAAATGGGCCAGGAATATGTAATCAATCTAAAGAGTTAGGTTGGAGCCAGATTGTAAAGGGCTTAAAATGACAGAGGAGCTTATATTTAACTCCAGATACCACGGACTGGAGGTGGGCCATGGGAGGTAGTTCTGATGGCAGCTGGAAAAAAGGAATGGAATGGCCAGACCTGTGCTTGGGGGAATATGAATCTGACCACTATATGGACAAAGTGAGAGAGTGAATAGAAGGGAGATCGAGGCTTATGTGCAATTTTTATTATTGTTTGGTTGTTTTTCAGTTATGTCCAACTCTTTGTGACCCCTTTTTTTTTGTTTGTTTGTTTTTTTGTTTGACAAAGATACTAGAGTATTTTGCCATTTCCTTCTCCAGCTCATTTTAAAGATGAGGAACTGAGGCAAACAGAGTTAAGGGACTTGCCCAGGGCCATATAGCTAGTAAGTGTCTGAGGCTGGGTTTGAACTCAGAAAGGTGAATCTTTCTGACCCTAGGCCCAGCACTCTTTCCACTGCACCACCTAGCTGCCCCTCATATATAATAGTCTAGGCAATAGATGATGAAGGCCTAACTAAGTAAGTAGAGAGAAGGAAATGAACTTCAGAAATGTTGAGGAAGTTGAATTAGCAAGACTCTTAGCAATTGGATGGATATAGGGCAGAGGGGGACAAAAGAGAGAGAAGAGTGAGGGTTGTGATTGGAATGATGGTGGTTCCTTTAACAGAAATAGGGGGATGAATGGGAGGGGTGGGTTTTGGGAGAAAGATAATGAATTCTGTTTTGGAGATGCTGAGTTTGAGATGCCTTTGGGACAATCCAGGTAGAGATGTCCAGTAGGCAGATAGAGATGTAGGGCTGGAGCTGCTATTTATGCACATTTGAGGTCATCTGTCTAGAAATGATAGTTAAATCCATGGTATGCCAATAAGATCACCAAGGCAGAGCTCATAGAGAAGGAAAAGGAGAGGTCGCACCAGAGGCCCTTGCCATACCCCTACAAATTGAGAGCTGAACATGAACGATGATTCTGCTAAGGAGCCTGAGAAAGTTTTTGACAAGTCTTTTTCCTTGCCAAGTCAGACTCATTATTTGTGCCCATGATATAGTCTCTTTCTATCTCCCATAAGGGCTTATTCCACTAATTATTTCCTTTCTTTCTCTCACATACACATTTTCCTTATCTACTGAGTCTGCTTTCATTGTGAATAGACTTACTCAGGTTTTCCTCTCCTTTAAAAGCCCTCAACTTACCCTGCCATCCCCTCAAGATAATTTTTCCTTTATCTATTCTCCCTTTCATTCCCAAATCAGAACAAATCTACGCTCATGGCCTCTTCTCCTCACCACGCATTGCTTTCTTGAAGGAATCTTGAAATCTGGATTCCAACCTCAACAAATCTAAAACTTCTCCAAGTTGACCAGAAGCCTCTTAATTGCTAATACTGTTTTCTCAATCCTAATTATCCTTGGCTACTATTGACTACCCTCTCCTCTTGCCTACTCTTTCCTCCTCTAGTCTCTGTTGGTTCCACTCATGCCTTTCTATCTAATTGGATAGATTCTGTTCTTTGGTTTCCTTTGCCAGACCATCATTCCTATTCCTATTCTGCTTTCTTAGCTTTACATTCCTTATATTTCCCAGGGCTCTTGCCTGGGTCCATTTCTCTTTTCTTTACACCTTATCTTGGAGACCTTAACAAATGTTTTTGTTGTTAGTATCATCTCAACATAGATGCCTCCCAAATCCATATATCCAGACCCAATTCACCCTTGAACTACACTTATCCACCATCTTTCTAGATATGCTTTTAGTTTCTCGAAATCATAATGTCCAAAATACATTCCATTACCTCCCTCCAACACCCAAACTGCTTTTTCTCCAAGCTTCCTTATTTCTGCTTCAGGCGCCGTTATTCTTCCAGTAAGCCAGGTTCATAACCTTAGATACATCTTTGACTCTTCCCCCTATCTTATCTTCTATGTTGAATCAGTTGCCAGGTCTTGTTAATTCTACTTCAATAATATCAGGCTCACCTATCCCATCATCTCTATTCATACCTCCATTGTCTTAATTAAGACCCTCATCATCTTTCCTCTGCACTCCTAATTAGTTTTCCTGCTTCTGGCTTTTCTCATCTTCACACCATCCTTCACACAACTACCAAAAAATTCATATTTCTCCCTCCAAAAAATGTCAGCGACTCCCCATTGCCTCTGTGATAAAATGCAAAGCGCTTAGCCTGTCCCTCAAGGCCCTCTCCAATTTCATTTCCACATACCTTTCGAGTGTATTTTACACTACATCCCTACCCCTTTCACAAATGCTAGATGGCAGCCTAGTTAAACTACCAGCAGTTTCCCAAACTTGGTACTCCAATCTCTGCCACTGCATATTTCTGCAAGTAGTTTCATGCATGGAATGTGCTCCCTCCTCATCTTCGCCTCTCAGTGTCCCTGACTTCCTTCAAGGTTCAAGTCTTATATGAGCTAACCTCACTAATTGTTAATGTTTTCTCCTTTCTAAACTCTACTAAATTTATTTGTATGGTTGACAAGGCTAGGCATCCATTTCATGTTTCCCCAGTAGATTGTAACTTCCCCAAGGACAGGAATGAACTAATTTTTGTGTTTGTATTCCTAGAACCTAGTCCAGAGACCTACGGATAGAAAGTACTTAATGGACGTTCATTAAATGTAATTGAACTTCTAGAGAAGCACATTTATTTTCACATGACCATATCGGCCCTATCCCAACATAAAGAATTATTTAGAACCATTTACATTTTGTAGGATGGTTATTTTCCTTCTGAGAAAGTTGTGATAAGTACCACCTGCTCAAATGGAAACTGGTTCTGTCATCTGCTTTTCAAAGTCACCAAAATGAAGTTCTCAAAGTCTGAAACTTGCCTCAGTTCCTCAACTGTACAATGAGCCATAGAAGGAAATGGAAAATCACTCCAGTATCTTTGCCAAGAAAAGCCCAAATGGTCCCAGAGAGTTGGACATGACTGAAAAACAACAACAATAAATGTCTGAAAATCCAGGAAATCAGTGTGGCATAGTGGCAAAGGTGCTAGATGTATGGGATGAGGAGCTAGGTTTGAATACTAGCTCCACCACTTATGAATTATATGACCTTAAGCAAATCTTCTCTGAATCTCAGTTGTTTCACAGTCATTTCAGTCATGTCTGTGTCCGACTCTGTGTGACCCCATCTAGGGCTTTCTTGGCAAAGATACTCTAGTGGCGTTTGCTTCTCCAGCTCGTTTAACAGATGAGGGAACTGAGGCAAACAGGGTTAAGTGACTTGCCCAGGGTCACACAGCTAGTAAGTGCCTGAAGCCAGATTTGAACTCAAGAAGAGCAGTCTTCCTGACTTCAGGCCCAGTGCTGTATCCACTGAGCAGTATCCTCATCTATAAAATGAGGGGCTAGACGAGATGGCCTCAAATATCATCCAACTCTAAGTATAGGATCTTAACAAATACTTTTTCAGATTCAAAGTCACAGGTAAGCTGGTACTTCCTTTGGTGTGTAATGCTCTTCTGTGACTTTCTAAAACTTGGACTAAGCCCTCATAGATGTTCAAAGCACAGTTCAAGGGCTACCTTTTATAGAAACCCTTCCTGATCCTCCCAGCTGCTAAATTATCTTTGATGTGTGTGTGTGTGTGTGTGTGTGTGTGTATATATATATATGTATATACACACACACACACACACACATATACATACACACACATACACACACACAGACACACACACACACACACATATATATATATATATATATATATATATATATATATATTTATGCCTATGTATTCATGTTATTCTCTGCTCCCTTCCCTACATGCCCCTGCATATGAACTTCTCGAAGGCAGGGCCTATCTGACTTTCGTCTTGTTTTTGTTTTTGGTTTTTTTTTTAAGCCCCAGATCCTTGTACATAGTAGGCATTTAATAAATAATGATTGATTGCTCCCTATGTGTAAAAAGAGTACTTTTACACCCACATAAAGCCCATATCCCAACATTTTTGTTTTCTAGGTCAAGTGGGAACATTTTATTTCAATAGTAAATCATCCTGATTCTATGTGATAGGGGTGATATTCAGCAACCAAGGCTATCTTTCATGCAGGCAATGCCCTGACATACTACCCATCTCGGGAAACTAGCCCTGAGTACCAGGGGATGCCTAGACCCAGTTTCCCTGAAAGCATCCTGAATTCCTGCAGGTGCTGGCAAGGGGACTTTCCCCTTCACCTGCAGGTTCTTGGGTCAGATCCAGCCCAGGCAATATACTCACAGTTGTCAAAATGGACCTTCCCCAGCAGGATATGTGTAGTGAAAAGGAAGCTGACTGTCATCCATCCCTTCTGTCTCCTGGGGACACGCTTAGTACTCTCAGAAATCAGTGCAAATGTCAACTTCCAGTCTTCTCTCCTGCTCTCGAGTCAGTCCCAATCACATGGTATATTTTTGCAACAACTTTTCTTTTTTTTCTGTTTTCCTAATGAATAAATTCGACTTGTTGAAACCAGACTCCACCATCTCAGATATAGCTCCATGACTGATGTTCTGTTCTTTGGAGTCTGATCAGCTCCAATGACCAAGCTGAGAGGGGGGACGTGACATGACTGTGTGACTGATTTCTTTCTGCTACCTCTACCCTCTTACTACTTCCCTCCCCTGGCCCATTTCCAGAAAGTATGCTCAGCACAGGCTTAGCAGGCAACACCACAACGAATAACAGTAATAGTGAGTCCTTGGGGCCTGTGGAAGGAACTGGTAAGTCAACTGGATCCTAGGGATCCCCTTGAAGAGTTCTGGAGGTTTTGATAGCTGTTTAGGAAAGTGATCAGGGAGACTCACTCACCGAATTTTTTTCCCAAGAAAGGGATTTTGTTGTTGTTCAGTTGTTTCAGTCATTTCCAACTCTTCATAACCCCATTTGGGGTTTTCTTGGCAAAGATACTGGAGTGTTTTGCCATTTCCTTCTCCAGCTCATTTTATAGATGAGGAAACTGAGGCAAATAAGGTTAATTGACTTGCCCAGGGTCACACAGCTGGTTAAGTGTCTGATGATCGATTTGAACTCAGGTCTTCTGGATTCCAGGACTGGTGCTCTATCCACTGTACCACCCAGTTGCCCTGGTATTGGCAATATTGGCTTCCAAATCCAAACATACTTAAATCCCATTTGGGGTGCGATGGAACGAGTCAAAGACCATTGTTTCAAATCCTGGTTCTGCTGCTTACTAGCTTAGTGACCTTAGTCTCTGGGACTCAGTTTCCTCATCTATAAAATTAAAGGGCAGGACTGAATGACCTCTCAATTACTCACGAGCTCTAAATCTATGACACTGATTCTCTTCTGACTCGACATCTAAAAATCACTTGTGAAGGGAAGGAGGACAAAGGTCGTCATCCCCTTTTATTCTTCTCCAACTAGCTCCAGTGATTTTTAATGGGCCTCTGTTAGCGTCTTGGGAATGAAAAGGAGCTGACAGAAATTTTCTCACTTTACATCAAATTAGAGTTTATATTGAAATCGAACAAAGTTTAAAAGGGAATTGCAAAATGCTTAAAGGCTTCTGATTGGAAGTCTTTAATCAGAATGTGGAATTCTTTAACTATTCAGGTATAGGTTAGACTAGATGCCTGCAGAGGTCTCTTCTAATTCTAAAACTCTATGATTTTATAATTCCTTAGCTACCTGAGATGTGCATCCTGAAGAGCACCTGAGGCTACAGGCTAATGAGCTGTCAGACCCTTCCTGAAGAAGTTGCATTTCAGCCGAAGGCCTGAAGATGGCAGCAGAAAGCAGAAGCAAATCAAAGGAGATGCTGGGCAGAGAGCAGCAAAGAACAATGACATCACCAGAGGACTAAGGTGCTTCGTAGCACTGCATGCACAAGCTGCCCCGGCGATGTTATGTTCTTTGGCTGCCTCTTCACTTGTATTCCCTGGTCACTCACGTTCCCATCATGCTTCTCCTCCCCTCATCTGGCGGTGAGATAATCTGTAGAAGACTATGTTCCCATGTATTATTTCAGGGAGGAGACTTCTTTGCAATACTGTTGATTAAAATGTCTTCGGCTTTGAGCTGTGTCCTTTGGTTTGTCTAATAAAATAAAACCTCTTTGGGGGCTTATAAGCTTTGATTTTTAATGGATATTGGCTCACCAAGTACCTTGAATCCGAAATAACTTTTTTTTGGGGGGGAGGGGACACCAGGTGATTGGCAGGCCCTGGGTGCTACAAAATTAAAGGACTCTTGGCAACTGTAGCAATGAGAACCCACGTGCTGCCTAGTTTCATTAGACACAAAAGTGGGGCCACTGTCCTGGATGCTCTATTCAGCCTTCACAACACCATTGCTAGTTCAACACATCTTAAATTAAATTCCATTTAAATCAATAAATACTTATTAAGGGGTGGCTATGTTAAAAGCACTGTACTACACAAATAGACCCACCAATTTTGTTACATGACTCTCAGGGACGGAGGGAGACAGGGAATACATTCCTTCTCAGATGCCACACTTTTCTGGGATGTAAAACCTATTGATACCCTCTCCACAAAGCATGACAGGAAGGAATGGTAGAAACCAATGGTTGGAGGGGTCTTGTTATGAAAATGACATTTTTGGTTAAGAATGAGTTGTGGAAGGACTGAAAATAAGTTCTATTCATCTTTGTTGTCTAAATACCTCTTAAATTCTTTCTGAACATCCCCTAATTCACCAGAATGTGAACAATTACAGCACAAAGCTATTCATTTATAGGTGGAAGGGAGTTGGCTGAATTATTTATCAAAGTGACATTTTAATTATAGTGAAAAATGAGTTTGTTGTCACCAAGACTGAGGAAAGTGTTTTAAGGCCTCAAAAAACCCACCAAAGTAAATTAAAAATGTTAACTTCTTAATGATGACTCTATTAGAAATAGGGGAAGCTAGAAGCAATCTGTAATGATTGCAGTGGGGTGTGTGTGGCAGATTCTTACTGAAAAGCATTCCTTTAAGGAGAGAGGTGCAGTGAATCCACATCAGATATTTGATTTAGGATCTAGAAGTGGGGCATTGTCCCTGTATTTCCAGCTCTTAGGCCCTCCAGAAGACCTACCACTTAAAAATTTCCCATAATTTTCAAATGCTCACAATCTATTTTTCCCCACAGCATCTTTAAAGCTAACACTTGGCAGGAGGTTGTCTTTGGGGTTCATAGGAGGACTAAGGAACACAATTGCTTCCCTGCATCATTTACTCAAAACAGAGATGACTCCCCACACAGATGCATTCTAAATCTGGTGACGACCCAGCGAGTTAAGTTGCCCCCGATTCACGTCTCTAGAATCAACTCCACCCTGTGTTTGCCTAACGTTAAGTTACTGAGCCAAGATCCTAGGCACAGATGATTTTAAAAGATTTCTACAGCTGGAAAAGACTTTAAAGAGTAACAACAACAATAACAACAATAAAAAATAATAAGAATATGATGGCACTCACATGAATTCCACCAACAACATGCCAACAATGAAACATCCACAGAATGGCTGAGACATTCTGATTTGTTTACAGAAATGGATGGTTTTATGATAGGGCTTCAGGATTAAGTCACTGTCAGAAATGACAGAAAGGTCATCCTTAAGAATCCCAAGATTATTGATTGGTGTAGATTTTATCCACCCGTTCAATAGTCTGCAGAACATTAAACATAAAAAAGAAATTACAAGATGGTAACTTGTTTCAGGACCATTTCTGTCTGAAATTCATTGAAAAAGACGAGAACAATGAGCTAATAATATTAATGACCACCAAAAATTACAGAAGGGTTATTTCTAAGGAGTCTGGACTATGGGACCAATGAAAATTTTTCAAGGAAATGGCCCAAACTGAGCACCACATCACTGGAGACTGTAAAACTTCAACACCTGCCAAGCACCTCAGAAGACATGCCCTGGTGGCGAGAATTGTTCATACAAAACTCACTATCTTTCATGGACTGACTGATGACCAATGCCCATATTACAAATAGAAACCCCCAAATGTCCTGGCCCATTCTACTAATAAACCGTACTAGAACCAGACTATTGCTGTTTGTTGTCAAGTTGTATCTGACTCTTCATGATCCCACTTCTTTGCTTCAAAGCTGGCTCTCTATACACTATGCAACGCTGCTGCTTGTAATTCACATTTAGGAGTAAAAATGGAGGAAATACAAGAAACTTGTGAGTTTTGACCTGCAGAAATCCATGTGATGAGCGACTGCAGAACATCTGGGTATCCTAGGATGACAGAATAAGAGTCGGGAGGGTGCTGATATATCACTGAGTACAACCTCCATATTTTAGAGTTGGGGAAACTGAGTCTCAGAGAGATAATTGACTTGGTAAAGGTCACAGAGATAGTAACAAGTAGCAGAGCCATGATCTGAATACAGATCCCATGAGTCTAAAACTAGCATTGTTTCTACTGTACCACACTACCTTTCATTGGATTACCACAATAGTCTTCTGAGGTGATCCATGCAAGCATTATCCCTATTTCATAGATGAGGAAACTGAGGTTTGAAAAGTTAAATGACTTGTCAAAGATCACAAAGTAAGTGTTTGAGCTAAGATTTGAACGCAGATTTTCTGATTCTAAGTTCATCCCCCTTTCTCTATGGGAAGAGGTTTCAGGGGGTCTGTGAACTTGGATGGGAAAAAAATCACATTTTATTTTCACTGACCTCTAACTTGGGATTTTTTAACTGTTTTTTTTCTTTTCTTTTTTGTGAGACAAACCTTCCTTGGCAATCTGGTGAAGTTTATGGACCCCTTCTCAGAATAATGTTTTTAAATTCATAAAGTAAAATACATAGTATTACAAAGAAAACCAAGTGTATTGAAATAGTTATTGATTTTTTTCAAAAGTTTGTGGACCCCAGGTTAAGAAGTCCTGTCATAAAGATCCTATCATAAAAGATATAATTAAGAGATTAATAAGAAGGGGACCCAAGAGAGGCAGAACCTGCCTGGGCTTCTATTTATTTAGCATTATGGCATAGTAGAGAGAGTGCTGAATTTGAAAGCAGGAAGACCTGGCCTTAAGTTACTTATAAGCTCTCTGAGCCTCAGTTTCCTCATCTATAAAATGGTGCTATTATAGAGCATCTACCTCACATGGCTGTTGTAAGGATCTACTCTGCAAACTTTAAAACGCTATATATTTATTATTAGACTCCTGAGCCCTCTGGAAAAAGAGCTTTTCATAAAGCTTCACCACAGTACTTCTCCCTTACCCCTAAATACCGTGGCTGCAAGGTGATCCCCTCTCTTTAAAGGAGAGTATCTTTTTATTTTAAAATTGTATATTCAATCACATTAATTATTAATTGTATTATTAAATATTATTTTATATACAAAATGAATAGATTATTATATACTTATTTTAAATTTATAACTAAATATATTAGTTATTAAATGAGTCTATTAAATTATATTAAATTTTTATATTTAAATTAGTATTTCCCATTGTCTTAAGTGATCCCCTGGCACACTATGTCTCCTTTCCTCAGCTCTCTGAAAGTTATTTCAGTGATATTCCTTGAAATTCCTGTCTGACTCTGCCCACATGAGAATACTAGAGGCATCTAGGTGGCTCAGTGGCTTACGTCCTGGAACTGGAGTTAGGGAGACCGGAGTCCAAATCTAGCCTCGGACTCTTACTAGCTGTAAGACATCCTTTATCTCTTCTGCTCTGTGCCACTGAACTCTTCAAAAGGCTGTCTGCAGTATGGACCTCCACTTTGTCTCTTCTCACCCCCTTCTCAACCCCTTACAATCTGGCTTCCAACCTTACCACTCCAGGGAAATTACTGTCTCTAAAGTTACCAATGGTCTCTTACTTGTCAAATCCAAGGCCTTCTCTCAATCCTCATTCTCCCTGACCTCCCTGCAGCCTTTACCACTCTTGATCACTCTCTCCTCTCTAGGCATTCAGGACATTGCTCCCTTCTGGTTTTCCTCCTACCTCTCTGACTGCTCCTTCTCCGTCTCCTTTGTTGGACTCTCTTCCAGATCATGATCTCTAAACATAGGTGTGCCTCAGGTTCTGTACTGGGCCCTCTTCCCTTCTCCCTCTATCCTGCTTCACTTGGGGATCTCATCAGCTCCCATGGATTTAATTACCATCTCTGTGCTGATGATTTTTAATACCTATCCTGCCTCAAACTCTCTGTTGACCCCTAATCTTGCATCTCCAACTGCCTGTTAGATATCTTAAACCAGATGTCCTATAGACTTCAAAACGGAACTCATTATCTTTCTTCCTAAATCCTCCTCTCTCGCCTACCTTCGCTATTACCATAGAAGGCACAACACTATCCTGTCAGTCCCTCAGGCTTGAAACCTAGGAGTCATCCTCAACTCCTGACTATCTCATCCCACATATCTAACCTGCTGCCAAGGCCTTTTAAGGTTTTTTTTTTGTTTGTTTTTGTTTTTTTTTTAGGCAATTGGGGTTAAGTGACTCGCCCAGGGTCACACAGCTAGTAAGTGTCAAGTGTTTGGTCTGAGGCCGCATTTGAACTCAGGTCCTCCTGACTTCAGGGCCAGTGCTCTATCCACTGCACCACCTAGCTGCCCCTGTGATTTCACTTTTGCAGTATCTCTTGAATATGCTCCCTTCTCTCTTCTGACACTGTTATCTCTTTAGTGCAAGCCCTCATCATCACCTCATGACTTGCTTATTGTAATTGCCTGCTGGTGGATCTGCCAGCCTCAAGTCTCTTCCCCCTCCAATCCATACTCCATTCAGCCACTAAAGGGATTTTTCTAAAGCATGGGTCTAATCATGTCACTCTCATACTCAATAAATTTCAGTGGCTTCCTATTGCCTCCAGGAGCAAATACAAAATGCTCTTGGCATTCATAGCTCTTTGTACACTTTACTTCCTGTCATGCTCTCTTCAATCCAGTGACATAGGCTTCTTGGCTGTTACACGGAAAGACGTTTCATCTCTCAGCTCTGGGCGTTCTCTTTGGCTGTCCCCCATTCTTGGAACCCCTTTCCTCCTCTACTCCGACCACCAGCTTCCATGGCTTCCTTTATGTCAAAAC